CACACACACACATATGTATATATATATATACATATGTGTGTGTGTGTGTGTGTGTGTTAGTGTTAGTTATTTTTGCTTCCTTATCACTAAACAAACGTACTCAAGCTGTTATTTACTGTTTTAATTATATGGAGAAGCTACAGAGACATTTTAGGCCTTATTTTAAAGTCTATGCTGGGATTCTATTCATCACAGGGGCATGGGGTGACAACGTGAATTAGTTTTATAACAGTGCAATTATACTGTTAAACAACAGTAACTCTGGCTGTCCTGAGCTAATATTTTTCTCTTTTTCCTCTAGTTTTTTTAACTTCTCCTTTCCATCATCCCTCCTAAGTTCTACTTTATCCCAGCCTGCAAAAACGTAACTTTTTCATTTGATGCACTTTTCTGCCATCTTCTCACCACAAAGAAAAAAGTTACACAAGCTCAATAATCGTGTATGTTTAAAGAGGAATGTTTTTCGGAAGCATTTGCCTATTGAACCTATGTGTTTATTAAATTTGCTTCAAGTCTTAGGCTTTGTTCACGTCTTTTTGGCTACCTGCTACCTTTGCTGTGATTCATTTAATCCATTTCCTCACATAACTTCCATTTTAAGTATCAGATGAGCCACAACAATAAAATCTCAAACAAGTAAAGCCACTAAGGGTCTATTTATACTGGTGTGGACTTTTTTCAACTCCAGTGGACAAATTTGCAGTCCTCCGTAATTTTAAGTGTGTTGGACCATCCAGAGCATCAACACTATGAATAGGCAACACCTCATTTTTCCACATCCAAGTCACATTAAAACTAAGTACAACACAGTTGGATGCATGTCGCCATTACAGACACTGACACATCTGCAACATTTTAGATGACCATTTGTAGTAGTTGTATAAAACATCAGCATTCCCTTACAGGAGAATCAGTGGATCCCACTAAAACATGAAAAGGACAACAGGACATACTTCAAGCTGTTGAGCCAGAATCCAAGCTTCATATAGCACCAGTCAGACAGATCAGAATGCATCTGAAAGGAGAAAGTCTAACTGAAGGAGAACTTTCTACACAACCCAAATGGACAAAAGGCTCTGCTTTAAAGGACATTTCAGGACAAGTTAGATGTCCAAATCCTGACTGGCAAGAGCTATTTTGGCAGAATTAGGCAAACCTATTCAAAATTAGGCAGGCGGTCATGATGTCATGGCTGATAAGTCTATGATTCACTCTGTCGTGATATAGTTGCCAGCCATCTGTGTTGCTCCCAGTTTTTTTTTTAAGAGTTTGCCTCTTAACAGAACGTTTTCGGCATAAAGCAGCATAAAGTAACATACACACCTCATCTGCAGAAGTGTTTTTCCAAAGCCGCTTAAATGCATTTTGTGATCTATTGAAGAGTGTGTGGCTGTGAAGTTCAGAGACACCAGGCTAAAATAGTGGTCCACGAACTGTATGTTTTATGTGATACATTTAATGAAAGATATCGTCTGTCCTCATATACAGTTTGATGTTAATGCAGTGCTTTTAATTTTGGTAGTTGAAAAAGGCTTTAAATTAATGGCTGCCACTGGTTAATGGCTTAGTTCAACATTAGTATCTTGCTTTTGTCTCCATATCCTGTCTGTTTTCCAATGGCAGCAACCCTGCTGTTAACTATCCTGCCCCAACCCTGCTGTTAACTATCCTGCCCCATCCACATCCAAGTAATAAATGGCTGATGTTGGTCAGTGTGACGGAGTCATTCTGCTGCCAGTTCATCTACCCACTGGTCTGATCTATACAACCCTGGCTTCACATAATAAATCAACACCCTCCCACATGCACATACACACACCTGAAGCCTCTGGTGGGTGCTCAGTCTCCCTTTATTCTGACGATTGATGCGCATCTTGTTGCTAAACGGCTGAGATAATTAAACCTTGTGCATCTCTCCCTTTTGTGTGTGTTTGTGTGATTGCCCTCCTGGTGCAATGTAGCACACACACATTGGAAGACACAAACACACTCTGTCCTCCTCTCTCTTCTCAGACACACCATTAACATTTTAAACCTACACTTCTGTCACTGCTCTCTGGCACACGCACACACACATTTGTTCCAGCATCCCCATGAGGACTCATCGACACAATGTATCTTCAAACCCTTTACTGAAACACACGTACACACATCAAAGCTATCTGCAGCACACTGATCCTAAACCTAAAATACCGTCTATAAACTAAATCCAAGTCATAATGCACCAAAATCACTCCATACCCACGAGAACTACTATTTAGTCCCTATGTTTGCAGGAAGTCCCAATAAATTATAGGATACTGTCAATGTTTGTCCCCATTTGGATTTTAAAACACACATGCTCACACAAACTGTCTTTCCTTGTGCACACTTGCAGAGGGGGAAAAAGAGAGGGAGAGCTGGAGAGATAGAAAGCACCTGCTGGTGCTGTAAAGCACTCACACAAACAGCGTCTGTGTTTCCAAAGACTTGAACAAATGGGAAAATTATACAGTGCAGGCTAAACGAAACCCTTTCAGCCAAAAGTACATCACCTTGACCAGCTGAGCGGGATGTTTAGGGTACATAAATGGATGCTGAGTTTTCTACAAACGTATTTAGTGTTATCGCAAGGTTTTATTGATATGCAGACAGTTACAGAACAGACTTCATGACTTCATGAGACGGAGAAACAGTTAAATTAATACGAAGGCTTCTAAACAAACACAGAAGAATTACAAGTAATTTCAAGAAAAAGATAAAAGAAGCCATCTTGCTTTGAGAAGACAAATAATGACAATACAACTTCATGACAAAAGACCCACAAAGCAGCCATGAAAATGTTTCACAACCAATAGTCAAAAGAAAGCTAGACTCAAAGTCACCACAAAAGACAAACACAACTTCCATGAAACAAACAAGGTGGCCAAACAGAAAAGGGAAACTGTTCCAGATATAAGAAAGAGGCTACACAGGGAAGTAGAGCTACTACAAACTACAGTAAAAAAGATGCTGTCTTGTTCTCATTAGTGTGTGTGGGTGTTTTGCTCATCCACTGGAGACTTTAGGAACCTTTTATATATCTTTACTCAGGGGATGCTGTTTCATAATACATCTTTGATTAAATATTGAAAAAAACAAGTAAAAGGAGGGTCCCTCACAAAGATTTGAAGCACAAACATGAATTTATTTAAACTATTTTCCTTAATCCATACAAGAAAACAACCCTTCCCTTCTTTTTCTTTCTGAAGTAGAATGTGTTCCCACGATGAACACTGGCTTTTAAGCACAGTCATGAAACACGCACATGCACGCGCGGTCTGATGAATAAATAAGAGCCTAATGGATTTTGGGTTGGAGTCATGACCGGAAATTCAACAAGGCCGAGCTCAATTCATGGCCGAGCTCCGTATCTTGCCACTAGGCTGCCCCGGAAATTGTCCTGTCGTGGTCTCAAAGAGTTTATTTTTCAATCCAAGTTTTCGGTTTCTTTGGCTCTCACGTGTGCACCCGCAAGTGCACACAGTGCCGCCTGCCCCCCCACCAACACACACACACACACACACACACACACACACACACACACACACACACACACACACATAATCACACACTACTTAAGCGCATACTCAAACTCTAAAGTCTATGCGCCTTCTGGGTATCTCACCTCCAAGGCGCACGCACGGGGTCCCTTTTTCTCTTTCCACGTCTCCAACACTTTGCATCGAAGCAAACAGCCCGCGAAGTAAACCTATAACGCAGGTGCGCGTGTGCGTGTAAACGCCAGTGCGTGGCACCCCCTTACCTGGCGATTCGGTGAAACTAATCCTGAATCCAAACGGCGCAGATGTCAGAATCTTGACCACGCGACAGTATGCCGTAATAATCCCACCTGCCGTGAGAAATTCCTCCGCTCCAAAGTGACGGGAGAATGAAGGCATAAAAGAAGCAGCTGAAAAAGGTCGTCTCCTTTTTCACCCCCCTGTCCCCTCTGTCAGTCTCAGCAAGGGGGGTTAAGCCTCTTTCTTCGCCTTCTTTTTCCAAGATGTTGGAAGGCGAAAGTCTGCTCCAGTTAACCGCAGTTCAGCATCTCACTTTCTCTTCTTGTTTCGCCGCCCTCCTTCTATCCCGCTGCTGTCTCTCAGGACGGGACGTAAAAAGAGAGACAATCAGGTAGTCCTCTGCACCCGGTCTGTCTCTGTCCGGGGGAAGAGGTGTGGAGGAATCGCTCTACTTTGCACAGCCAAAAATAACTTCCAATCTCCAAACTGGAATCGACGTGCGCCAAAATAATATCCACTAAATTCTTGTAAGGTTCACACAGCAAGGCTGTTGTTGCGGAAATTGTTAGTTTCTATTAATTTTACTTTCTTCAGTCGCGCTCTCCTGCGGATTTAAGACAGGACACACTATGCTAAAGGAAGGTGGATATTTATTTTGCTTAATGTTCTGAATGGGACGGAAACGTTTTGGGGATTTATGTGCGCTTCTTTAGGGCGAGCCTTTTCCCACATGATGAGATAAAAATCAGCAGGTCTCCACTTTGAACGTTCAGTATATCGATTTGTCAATTAATCATTCCAGATGTGCTGCTGGAGAAGCATCAACTACTGCCAAGAGCTGCAAACTGCAGTGCAGGCTTCACCTTCCCCTTTAACTCCCACCTCCCCCTAAAACACACGCACAAGTCCGAGTTTCTCGGATGGTAGTGTCCGATAGTCAATCAAGCAGTCGGCTCGTTAGTAATATTGATCTATCCACAAAAGAAATCGATTAATTAGAGCGCAAACAAGCAATGAAAAGATGTTGGAGACAAGAGAGCGCGTCTCCTCTCCATCTCTCCTCTCTTGTCTTTACTTTTCCTCTTCCCCCCAGTAATCCGTCCCCTCCAGGTAAGAGGGCTCTGCCTCGTCTCTTGTCACAAGATGGAATGCCGGGCTCCGTTTAGAATGTCAGATTAGCACACACACTTTTGAAGAGTCCACTTGGAATGAGTTTGTGGAAATCCGTTTCGCTGCACTGGGAGCTGCAGGACAGAGGGAAATGCGCGAAGCCTTGAGCCGCTTCTTTTTGGGTTCTCCTTTAGAGTAGCGAAGGGGGGAGACGGTGGGGGTGTGAGAGGGGAGGGTTAGCCCGAATCTCCTCCCCTTTCGAGCTGTGCGTAGCTGGCAGATCAACGGGGAGGCAAGAGGAGCAACAAGGGGAGAAGTGTCCGCTTCTGGAATTAGAATAGGAAAAAAATCAAAGTAACACTAATTCTGGCTCGGTGGTTGCACCAACTGGAGGAAGAACAGATGCGTCTCTCTATTTCTATCTATCTCTTTCTCTCTCTTTTTCTTTTTTGTTTTCGCAGACGTAAAATACTTCCCATACTCGTCCGCCTTCAGCTACTTCACCACCTGCCCAGGGGAAGACCGATAAAACACATAAAATTGCCCATCTCTTTTGGTCTAAGAGTGCGCGCAGTAAGCGGAGAGAGACGCGGAGAGCGCAAAGAGAAGAAAAGAAGGCAATATACGTCCTCAACCGATAGCACTCAGTTTCCTGTCCCGAAAGAAGTGAATGTTTATACTGTTTCAGAGATTAGAAACCGAATAGATGAACAGAAGGTGGGAGCTGTTACTTCAGCACTGAGGAAGAGGGAAGCGGACCGAGAGTGGTCTTTTACTCAAGTGCGGCTTTAGCCAAAGTTCCAGTCTTAGCGTGTTTTGCGTTTACCTTTCTTCCACGATGAAATTGAACAGAGACGGATTTTATTGTCTGGAAAGCGAGAAAAGACTGCGAGAATGAAAATATGTTTAGATATAGCTATTTGATAGTTGGGCAGATAGCAGGGGGAGCGCTGAATGTGGAGGGGAGAGTGTAACGGTCGGGCTTTTGGTGGACTGGGATGGTGCCACACTGTTGCCCTCTTTTGGTCATGGATAGAAATTATATTTTAGGGTGAAAGAGAGGGATGGGGGGATAGACTGGTGAAGGAAGGATACAGCTCAACATTCGAAGCCAATGTAGAACATGATTAATAATAAATAACAACAAGAGACTGCATAGAAAACAATAGCATCGTCTGTAAATGTTATTTTGTCAATTTACTCATATATAAACACCTCGGAAACTACTCAGAGAAAAAAGGATGTTCTCATCTGACCTCTGCTATTACGATTCAATTTTAAGAGATGAGGTTTTGGAGATAAATTTGACAATTTGAAATGCCTACCATCCATTTTACATGCAAACCTTGTATACCGAACACAGAAATGCCCCAGCCAGGGCAACAACACTATCTCATTCAAACTCAATAATGCGGTTATTTTTGGGGATGGCTATTCACATTGCTGCAGAGCAAAAATTGTTCAAATGTATCTTAATGAAAAAGATGTCAGGCCAGAAAAAAGTCTGAATCTGAGTGTATATTTATCATGAATTGAAAAAATACATAAATATATATATTTTACTAATAAAAAAAAATGCTATTCATAAGAGCTAGTTGTGAAAATGTCATGGGTTTGTCTTGCAAAGCCAGAATGTTCAGCTTTGAGCACACTCTCCTTATCATGTTAGGCAGTTTGGCAATGTCGGCTGATCAGTCCAGTTTGTAAAAATTGGCCCTGTCAAAATAAATAGGTGAACTATTTTTTGTAGCAATTTGTAATATCGTATTCCCATTGAGTAAATATCCTCATACTAACACATAATCTGTAAACTGTAGAATAATAGTTCAAATGAATCCATGTTTGGTTTTCACTTTGTATTATTAAAATATTGGCATTATATTAGTATCATTTTCAGACAAAAAGATAGACATTGGAGCCTCTGTAAAACAATAAGCATCTCTGCAGTCTTGGAAAGCGCAGCTCAGGGAAATAATATAATGATACTTCATTAGTGCAAAAGTAAAGCATACCCAAGAATAAGTCACAGTTTGGATTGCATGAAATGTATTATGCACACTTGAATCAACTCTATACATCTGAAGTTTGCATCAGATTGTGCAGAATGTAAATTATTAGCAGTAAATATGAACATATTCTCAGACAGAAACCACCTTTCAATTTAAGTGTATGGTGGTTATTGTTGACTTGTTGGTGGCTGTTGGTATGGACAGGGGATTTATAAAATCATAAACCATCTCATAACAGAAAGCAGAAAACAGATGGTTTACTAGATGTTTAGGATCACCAACAATCCTCTATGCCCTTTCCTTCACCCTGGTGTCATGCAGTTCCAAGATGGAAAGCAGCAGACAGCCAATGAAGTGCTCACCAGTGCGGAAATTATGCTGGATTCTGTCCCTGAAACAGGACACTATTTGGTTTAAATGGGGTGGATAGAAGGAGTACGTTGTCTTTTAGCAACGCTTAATTTATTGTCCAAAGGTTTGAGGAATGTGTTTCTTGTGATGTTTTTTTTTTAACTAATGGAGAAGACCAATCAAGTAAGCAAGTTTGATTGAATGTGAACAAAGAAAAAAAATGCAGCCAGAATCGTTGAGTGACTTTTTTTTTTCATTGCTGATGACCCTTGAAATCTGTTTCACCAAGCAGGATTGTAGATGAGGTTCTGCATGCCATGACAACAGATTGTCTACTGACTGGAGAATATGCAGCATGTGTTCCATTGTTTTGCTCAGCAGTTTAAAAAAACAGGGTAAAATGAATCAATTACAAATGCACTAGTTGCTTGGAAGGGATTCCTTTTTTTGAGCACTGGCAATAATAATTTAAACAGATTGTCAAAAGTCTATAGATAAACTAAGGTAACGAAAAAGCAGGGATGAAAGCCAATAATGTATTTTCAACAGGCATTACAGTCCACTTATTGAGTTAGGAATGGAATAAACAGGATTTCAATTAAGCATGTGACTTCGAGTCTCGATTTTTTATTTTAATCAAATTGGAAACTACCAAAACTGATACTGTATCTGAAGGCTCTGAAAAGTCTGGCTAATTTCACCATGAAATAAACATCCTCATTTTCGTACCTCGCAAAAGGGTCTTTGTGTTAAAAAAAAGACTATTTAACACATTTCATGGTGTAGATGTACACCACCAGAAATTATGTCCAAACCTCTAACTGGGAGTGTAAGCATATAACTAAAAGAGTTTCATGGTGATGGTGGTGTGTGGCAGCTCCACTTGAGTCATAGGCTTTAATAAGATGTTTTAATACATTGGGACAATTGTTATTGATCTATTTACATTACTTTGTACGGAAGAATGGCAGGATATCAATTCAGGTGCCCAATATGACTGTGTGCACAATCGAGCTAAGATTTCAAAATGTTTCCACTGTGATCACCATGGGTTTTCCATGTGGTCTTTCCATATGTGTTTGTAGTCACCACCCCATACAAAAATGGGGAAGCAATGTAATCTTACTGGCCAGGGTATTGTCTTAGGGGGTGTGAATCACAGATGCTTAGTCTTCCTATTCAACAACTTAGTTGATTTGCGCATGTCCTCAGATATGCCGATTATTTTACAAGAAAAGCAGAAGAAGGGATTTTTAATTTGTAAAAGTATACCTGCAAAAGAGAGTCTCCAAAAGGACCCTTGACAAACGCTGTATGGGAGCAAAACCATTGGGCCTTTTTCTTTATCTTTAATCAAAATCCATGGCAAAGTAGAGGAGCAAGGGATTGCAACAACTATAATCTCGAGCTATTGAGCAAAACCTATATAAATATATAGTTTTTAGGGTTTTGATCCTTATTGGCTATAGAAAGTCACAACAAATGTTGACTGATAAGTCTTTTTAACAGTCATCTGTAACGGGCTACAGCAGTGAAAGGAGGGCCTTGGTACATTGTAGCAAGATGCTATCATGCAAATAGTTTGAAATGACTGTAATGGACCAATGTTATGAATGTTATGCTGAGTAGGTTCTAGTGGAAATGTGCCTTTAGTTAGCAAACTTTGTCAGATTAAATGCAGCTCTGTCTCGTCTGGAATTTATGACTGTCCTTTTCAACAGTTTCCATACCTGATTTTGAGAACACATAAAAGCGGGGCTTTTTTTCTAACAGTGCCATCAAATGTTTACCAACAGTCATTTAAGACTTCAAATGTCTACCTGCTGGTAGCGTTTGGCTTTTAAATTGGATTTCATTTTGTGCTACAAAAATTAAGAATCCCAAAGAAATCCAAATCATCCAGATGATTGTTTTAACAGATGTAATCCACAGTGGTCATTAGTTAAATTAACCAGTTACACTGACATGATTTGTCAGAGATTTGCTGCAGTTTTATTATCAGAAAACAATAGTTTCCTCACTTTGAGGGGATAACCCTGAGATATGTTTTTATTCTGTGTGATGTTTCCCTGAGAAGTTTTACATCTAAACTGGAAATAACTCAATTGAATTGGCAATGAGTTCTTGATCTTGGAGAGTCTGAGCAGACCTGTGGCTTCATGCAGAAATTAGTGTTTGAGTGCTCAGCAGCTGGGCTTACTGACAATCACTGGAAGGCATTAGAGAAACATTTGTTTAATGGCAATGATGGGGTCGTTCTGCTCTCAAATGATGTCTTGGATCCACTTTCAAACTGAAGAGTAGATGCATCTGTATGCCTTCAGCAATAGTACGTTGGACCCATCTGGACCTTAACAAGAGCCATAAAGAGCCTCGGAGAAGTATGGAAATTAACCTTTGATCTTAGACTAAAAGCGGCATTCTGTCCTGTGCTGGAAGGGAAAGACACTTCACCATTTGCCAACATATAAGACTGCTGTCAGGATATATGGTTTATATTTTATTAGTTGTCCTGATGCTAGCTCTGGCAAACCATTCACTTTTCCCAGGACACAGAAGCATCAAAAACACAACGGAAAAAAATTAATTGGATACGTTTCCAGGGTGAGCTAAATGGGTTACAGAGAGGAATTGCATTGAGCTGTCGTAATTTCAACTTGAAACAACTCTACCACCCATTTCTTTTTGTTTGATTTCCATTAAAAATGTTGCCATACATACTTTTTTCTCTTATTGGCTTTTCGTGTACCACATTTCACCTGAATCTGCATCAACCTCTGCAGCCCAGGGTTAAGAAGGAGCTAGGCTGATCTGCTGTAAATCCATTTGTAATTGATTCATCTTGCTGTGGGAGTGAACACTGGAGAGTGCTGTCGAGGAAGGACAGAAGGGAAACTTTTGTATCCTCCAGCAGTGATGTGCTCCAGTACGTTTTCTCCTTCGCAAGGTTCCAATTATAAGGATGCGAGGAAAGGAAGCCACATCTCATCAGCAGCTGTTGGTAAAAATGTCCAAGGGAGATCTCAGAAGTGTGGATTAAAAGTAAAAAGGAAGAGAGTCAGCCAGTATTCATAGGCTGAACCACACAATGGAAAAAAAGGGGGGAGGCAGATCTCAGCAAGTCTGATCAGTGCCAACTAGGAATCACTGCAGATAATAAAAACTGATGACAAAGAGGTTGGCTGTCTTTTAAAATGCGATAGAATGGTTGAATTCTTTAAGACCAAATGGAGAGTCATAAAATAATGTATAAAGCTAAATTGATTAGATGACCGACATTTAGTTCACACTTGTAGATTTCATGAGTACCTGGATGCATGGGCATCAGATGACCGGCCACAAGCCTCAGCCTCAGTTTTAACTGTATGCCACTGGCCTGTAGTCCTGACTGCCGTTAGGACGCGGCGTCTTAGGCACAGGAACGAAGCAGGACGTCTTCCACAGCACAGGGACTCTCTTGAGGTGCAGGCTCAGGCTGAAGACCAGGCTAAGGACTCCACACAGCTGGGCGGCACAAGCTTTAAGCACCCTGGGAAATACACCATCGGGGCCTGCAGCTTTGCCGGTGTGGAGTCTGGTCAGTTTTCTTCGAATCAGGTCAGGTGTGAAGGGCACTTAAGAGGTGACAGTTGGGGAAGGGGCGAGGTCCTCATGTTGTGGATGACACAATGCAGAGCAGGGGGGAGGGGTGGAGTAGGTGGGTGTGAATTGAGGTGGTGAGGAGAAGACAGGGGGTCTGTAAGGAGGAGGAGTGGGGGACGGTGGAGTGGTCGTCGTTGGGTAGCCAGCAGCAGAGACTTGTGGTGGATGGGCCTCAGTATCAAACCTATTGAAAAATAGGTTCAATTCATTGGCCCGGTCCACTCGGCCATCCAACCCCATGCCACAAGTCTTCTGGAACCCGGTGATGATTCTCATGCCACTCCACACATCCCTTATGTTGTTTTTGTTGGAGTTTATTCTCTAGCTTTCTCCTGTACGTATTCTTAAACTCCTTAATTTTCTGTTTGAGTACCCCCTGCACTCTCGTCACCTCGTCACGGTTGCCATCTCTGAACGCCCTCTTCTTTTCGTTAAGGCCTTAATGTCCTTAGTGATGCATGGCTTGTTGTTAGCGTAGCAGGTGACAGTCCGAGCTGGGACATTGCAGTCAACACAGAAGTTGATATAGTCCGTGACGTACTCTGTGAGCCCATCGATATCCCCTCATAGGGCTCACAGAGTGCAGTCCAGTCTGTCACAACAAAGCAGGCCTGCAGTGTTTCATAAGCCTCCTCCAACCACCTCCTCACAGTCCTTGTGGTCGTAGGCATCCATATTACTATGGTCTGCTATAAGATATCACTACAAATGTTTTACGTGAGTACTGTATGTCCACCTGGATACATTAAGAATTCAGTTGAAGACTGTTTCTATGCATTAATCAACTCACTTGCAAAAGCTGCTATGCTTATGAGACAGAAAAAACAGAACACCTACACTTTACACTGTGGAGGGAACCACGTGGGTAACTCTCCTCTAGCAGGTTTAGATTAACAATAAGACACAGCATTCATCCTCTCTGGTCTAAAAAATCACTCGTTAAAAAGTCAACAGGCCATTTCTTAACTGGGTAAATGGTGAATTGGATCCTTGGTCTTACCAGGCCAGACATCATGATTTCAACACACACATAGACAGTATTGTATCTGACTCTGTCCCTGGATAATTTTGCATTGAAAATTTAAGAGATGGTTGACCAATTAGTGAAATAGTAATTGAGAAAAAGAACAGGATGACAGGTGGGAAGAAAAGGTGTCAGAGGGAGAAAAAAAAGACAGGCTCCAAGAGATTAAAAATAAGGAAAAAATAGAGATTGGGTGTCATGAATCAGTATCTTGCCCAATGATACTTCAACAGTTAGCATGAGGTAGCCAGAGATCAAACCAACAGTCTTACAATTGAGAGAAAACCATTCTTGATCTGGAACCACAGCCGCTCCAAAGTACACAATGTGGATAAACTAAGGGTAAAAATGCATCACAAACATAAACTAATTGCTCTCTCCAACACCAGTTCATTATTTTGTAGATCCACACGGAACTTAATTTGAGACATTACCCATTCTGTATGGGAGAGTTCTGGATTTAGACTGTCATTAGCCAATGACAGAAATGTTTCCATATATCTTTCCACATAGCCTGACTATAAAAGGGTGGAGTCCAGTGGCTGTTACAATTTTACTTTTTTTTGTCTCAGTCAGCTGGATTAAATTCCTCTTTGTGACTGTTTTCACATTAAAACTATTGTCTAACCTCTGAATGCATCCCTGCGTGGAGGGTAGTGTGCATCCTTGTGTGATGAGTGTCTGTTGCCGCCTTGTTGGGCAGCCTAAGATGAGCAGTATTATTACTTATCCTTGTCTTGACAACAGTTTGCACAATCAAAATAGAACTGCAGGTCTGATTATAAACCTGTATTTCCAAGGATTCTTTAACATAATTGGTGTTTAGTCACATTACACTCTTCAGTGCATTATTGAATATGTCAGTGGTAACACACTGAAAGGGAAAAACTATCTTGTTCCAGTATCCCACTCACTTGGACTTCCTACTGCTTGGATGGCATTTCTCTTGTATATGTGCTTTTGCACTTGGAATGGGCACTGTATGATCCTGGCATGCACTGGCAGGCATGTCACATCCCATTCAGACACTATGTCTCTCTCTCTCAGTCTTTCGCTCTCGCTCCCCTGTGCGCTCTCTGCATGTTCCTGGCATGCACAGGCGGAGGCATCACTTCTGATTTGCCTAGGGGCCGTGATTGTGTGAGCGTACATATGTGTTAGTTTTTTGTGTTTATGCGTATCGATGCACGTCTTTCTCTTTGTTGTTGTGCTTGGTAGTTGAGCCATTTAGGATTCTTGTAATAACCCCCCCCACCACCACCTTTTTTTTTTTATCCCCCTCCATTTTGGCTCTTGGCCAAATCTACTGTATGAGACACTGAGACATATGTTGGGTTCTAGCATGGCAGAGCAGGCATTCACAAAACTCTAAATTGAACTGTGGCAATGAAGCAAGCTTTTGGTTTATCTTGTTAGGATATGGAGGGATATAATTTTAAATACCAATAATAAAGCACAGAAATACAAGTGCAACCAGCAACTTTCCTACTGAAAGCAAAAGAAAGGCAAGGCTTTGATTTAAAATTCAAGGAAGATTTATTTTTTCTTTTAACTTCTTGATTAAAAAAGCTTTAAATGCAATAAAATCATTGAATCAAAATTCCCGAGGATCTGTGTGGAGATTTGACTCAATCCCCACACTATGGAATGGAAACAAATTTAGGTTTCATGGGTTTTCAGTTTTTTCCATGCCACTTGGACTGATGAGACCTATCGGTTGCTTCTGTAGCCCCACAGGCCGGGAAGGCCTGATAGGACTCCTGCTTCATCCTGACGGTATCCCTCAGCACCAGTGTCCACGAGCAGGTTACTGCTTCGACAGGCACCAGCAACCCATACGTATTCAATGTCCCCCACCTCACTCGGATAGTCATCTAAGAACTCAGAGGCCGGAGTAAAAGCTCTGCCTGATGAGGGACTCTTCCAGTCGCTCCCAGCAGACCCTCACTAGCAACCTCCCCTACCATTGGAGCCAACTCACCACCAGGTGGCGGTCAGTGGAAAGCTCCGCCCCCCTTTCTACCTGAGTGTCCAAGACATGCATGCCACATATCAGATGAAACAACAACAAAGTTGATCATTGAGCTGCAGCCTAGGGTGTCCTGGTGCCAAAAGCACATATGGACACCCTTATGCCTGAACACAGTACTTGTTATCGACAATCCGTGCCGAGCACAGAAATCCAATAACAAAACACCACTTGGGCTCAAGCTGGGTGTGCTATTCCTCCCAACCACACCCATCCAGGTCTCACTGTCATTGCCCACGTGATCACTGAAGTCCCCCCCAGTAGAACAAGGGAGTCCCCAGGGGGGGCACCTTCCAGCACCCCCTCTAAGGACTCCAAAAAGGGTGGGGAGTCTGAACTGTTGTTACGCTGTCAAGAATGTTTCACATTTTAGGAGCGTAAAACTGAAACGCAGACTCATCTTGTTTGGTCTTGACTCTGGGCACCAGCAGGAGAGCACCACCTGAGGTTCTCAGAGTCCAAGCTGGTTCTAGTGTGCCAGAGATTTACTTTGGTACTAGACCCTGGTGCTACACAAGGATATGTGTTTTAGAGTGTATTCTCTGAGTGAGAGGAAGCCAGTGCATAGAACTCGGGACTGCACTTATATGGTCGTATTTCCTGGTTGTAGTCAGAACTCAAGCAGCAGCATTCTGAATGTTTTGCAGCTGACTTAAAGCGGGTTTAGAGAGACTAGTGAGCAGGCTTTTACAGTAGCCCCATTAATTATTCTTTTAAATCTGGTTTAGACACTATTCGTTTTCATCAGAATAATCTAGTAGGTTTAAATGGAAAATGTTTCTCAAACTCAGCCAGGGTTTCAAGTAAGTTGAGTTGGGTTTTAAATGTTATAGACTGAAGGCCATTGATTGGCCTGAGATTTACATCATTGAATGTGTCACGAAAGTGATGGCCTCACAAAACTGTACCAATTCCAAAGAAATGCTGCAACAGCAACATTTCACCATTTTGTTTTTCTCCTATCTCCTGTATAACTCCTGTCAATTTAAGGTTATTTTCCAGGGTTTACATGGATTCTTACAGACTATGTTAGCTACTTCAACCATGGTTATCAATCATAACAGATGTTAAAAAATCACCAACAGAAATCAAGCAGCAAAGGATTCAAAGTAAAATACTTTAGAAATTTGAGTCATGTGCCACTTATTAAAAGCTTAGTTTTTTATTCCTTAAAAAAGTTTTTCTTTTTTTTGCTTTTGTTCAATTGTGTAGGGACATCAGCTCTAACAGTTAATGGAAATGGAAACTTGATAAGTTTTGCCACTTTGGCTTTTCCTTGAGAGTCCGATTTTGAAATCTATATTCTCTTTTTTTTTTACCTTTGACAGCGGCTTTTCAACCTGTCAAAATTAAATTTACTTTGATTTTATACTTGCTTTTCCTTTCGTGTATGTTGCAAAGTCCTTCAGTTAAGTTAAAATATGATTGAATTTCTAGTCAAATAAATGGAATGTACCGACTGCATGTATCTAATGTTAATGTTTCAGAAATGTAAAATAACATTTTACATTTACATAAGACTCAACTGCCAGTCCAAGTAAAACAAGATAAGCTTGGCATGGAAAAAAATGGGTGGATACAATGATGGACTTAATAGTTACAAATCTATAGAATGACGACACTGACCCAGCCTCTAATCCCTCCCTAATGATCATCGATGGTGCATTTTTCTTCTTCTTAGGTGTCCTGAGATTGACCTATCTATGTTGGACCCACTTTTAGGGGGATTTGTCAGTGTTGTAGGTCTTATTTTAAAGGCAGTTGCATGTAATACAAAAATGTAAACAAACGCCCAACGAAGCATTCAAAGTAATCTACAATGCTTGGCGTATGCTTTTCTCCCCCAATCATAGTCATGGACTGAACACCAAGCTCCACGCATTTTACTGAGCGATCGTCTACCCAGAGGATGCAAATAT